TGTTGTCTCTGCTGAAGCACACTGTCGCGCCATTGGATAAAATATTGGAATACTTCGAAGAACTACTCTCTTGCCGATTCCCCTATCCTACCTACAAGCAAGTATTCGTAGATATGGTAAATATCATATTTCCCGTCATTTTATAGTAAACCTTCAGCTCCTATTCTGACAGTTATTTACTAACTTTGTAGATCCCTGATGATGTGACGTCTTACAGTAGCATGACTCTTTTTTCGATAAGTACTCTCCATCACAAGAAGATCATCGATGTAGTACAGGTATTCTAAAATTATAAGTCTATGGAATAGCTCCGGAAAAGAAATTTTCATTCAAGGAATGCAGGCAAACTCTTGCTTTGGGTGTCTCGCAACAGTTTTTTGGTTGCTTCATATCACCCGCCCATTTCTTGGATTCTTGGCTTGTGCGATCATTATCCAGGCAGGTTATCATCTAATGGAGAAGCACTGTGCAGTCTTGTTTCGCTGCAGATGAAAGCGTATGTCGGACAGTATGCGTTTGGGGCGCCATACCCTTCCCCACCAGTTTTTCAAGCGGGTGAGCGACAACAATAGGTGTGAAACGAATGATAAGATATAAAGTATAATAATAATAAAATCAAGGGCGTAATATCAATCTCAATATCGAGCCGCTGTCCCTTAGAAGGAGGAAATTTGATTTAATAACACTCTTCAAGATCTTTCATGGTTACTCGGGTATTAGGCCTAGCGCATTGATGGAAATTCATGAAACTACGACTAGAGGCTCGGTAAGGAAAATTACCATCCCGCGAGCTAGACGTAACGTTAGACACCATTTCTTCCTCAATCGAACCTGCCAAGAGTTTCATAGGATACTCTCCTTGGGAAGGTCATCCAATAAACTTACTTCCTTTAAAGCCACTCTGGAAAAGTATCTCGCATCCTGATGTCACATTTACTCTGTTTGATGGGCTCAAAAATCGTCTACTTCACTTCTGTTGTGTTGCTTCACTTCCTGTGTGCTGCTTCTTTCTGTTGTTTGTGTTGCTACTAATTGTATTCTGTTTTTTAACTGTTTTTTTTCTTGTGCCACACGGGTTCCCGTGTAATAAACATAACATAACATAACATGATATAATTATGTCGTTTGCTTAGGTTTGGCAGGCATACGCCATACCCATCCCTGCCTTACCGCCTAACCATTCATCCCAGCAAGACAGGTACCTCTCATCTTCTCTCTCTCTCTCTCTCTTCTCTAGTGTCTTGCTGTGTAGTGAAATTTCTAACGTTTTAAGATTTATCACCTCCCTCTACATCGAGAAGATCTTCGGCACAAGTGAATATCTGTTTCATGTAAAGAAACTTTTGAATGCCGTAGGATTATGAATCCCAAGTGGGGGAAGGTCAGTGTTCTCGTGAATGTTTGTTGCATTTTTATTTTTCTTCCGAATGCACGTTTTATGAGATGCAAAAAGAGTCGTTTTAGATCGTTCTTCGACCTTCAAGTGAAGGATCCCCTCGCCTGAATTTGCATTGTGAGCCTCGATGCGAGCACACTTGTTCTCCCTCTATGTAGAAAATCAACTAAGAATAGGCCACATATTTGGCCATGGCGGATGCTTAGCAAGAGATTAGGACACGAAACCTTATTTTCAGGTACTTTTGGACGATTTTCTTTCTACTTTTGTAATTGTGGCTGTAGGGTAATCCTGTGTATTGTTGCCTCTGTAGCAGTTCAACCATTGTGAACTTTTACGAAAGTACAGCGCAGATCATCCCAGAACTTCTGTTATCCGTAAAAGAGCAACCCCGGGACAGGACCAACTGAGCACCGCCAGAAGACAATCATAGCGCCTTTTCGGCTCGATAATTTCTTGCAAGCCTGATAACTTATCCTGAATGGCGTGCCATTAGCTGAACTTTTTACTTGTGCGACTATTGTTATTGCTCTCGTCTGAACCAACTTGGAAGGAAAACTATTCTGACCAACTGCTAACGATCTGGGCGAGCTTCTACATTAGTAATCGAGGTTCTTTCTGCATGCTCAGGGAGGCGGTCCACAAATTCTCCCTTCCGAGCTCGCTGTGTGTTTGTTCGAAACGATCTTTGGCGTCGTTGTCTTAGAGGCCTTCCGTCAGCCACAATCCGTGCGGCTCCTAGTTTCCTACTGAACTGGTTGGTTAAATTGGTTGAGTTGAAGGCGTAAAATGACTAACGGTCTTCTCCTTTGTCACCGTTCAATTTTCTCACCGAGCTTCTCTTTAACTGCTGAAAGTCGTCATTATTTTTCTCCGCGCCGCGGCTGCACCGCGGATAATGTTGGACCTACAAGACATAATGTTGGACCTATAGACTCTTATCTCCACCCTGAAACAGACGAAATGGCAGCACTAAATCCCCTTGAACATTTCTACCCTAAGGCGTTGCATAACCACTGACCACTAACTTTCTGGGATTGTCTGGTCCTCGAATGGAGGCACGCACTTAGGCCAAACTTTAGTCACCCGTATTCCAAAGAATGACGTTGCTGAGAAAAACACCTGAAAAGGGGTGGTGATTGGTGAAGCCCGGGAAATGCTCTTTCAAAGTGCCGTTATCACGACACAAACGGGCAGCTGCTAAAAATGAAAAGCATGAATTCATATTTTAGTGTAATACTTTGCCTCAATGAAATATGTAGTAGGATTTCCAAATCCGTTGTAGAACTATAACATAATACTTGTTGATAGTATGAATATATGACGTCGTCCATTTTCAGGTGTTGCATAAAATCCTTTCTGTTGGACAACAAATGGCCGAGCGACGTGATAGACCAGCTACTTGGACCCATCTTGTAATTTCCACTGAGACTTTCTTCAGAACGGTGACAAACGTTACTGGACAAGAAATCCCTACTTTTATGGAACAATGGATTTATAATGGAGGACATGCCTCTTTTCGTGTACGTCTCTTAACCTTACTCAGAAGAATGTGGCCCAAGAGTTTCTCATTTCAGGTGCAATATGTCTTCAACCGTAAACGTAATATGATTGAGCTAGAAGTGAAGCAAAAAGTTGAACCTGGAAATGGTCGATTGAGGTATGTTTCATGCTGCGAGACACATATTTCCTTCGAAGCTGTTTTCTGTGATCATATGCTTGTAATCACTGCAGATACGTCGGTCCGTTGACGGTTTTGGTGCAAGAACTGGATGGTTCGTTTTCACATACTGTCCAAATTGACGGCGATATTTCACGAGCTGATCTTCAGTGCCATTCTAAAGGTCGTCGGTAGA